TCATTTGTTGTGCCTTACATCAAAGTTCTAGTTAAATTAAGTGTACAAGTAGAAAAAACATATCCTCAGTTAAGATTTTGAGAGTATTCCATTCAAAGAATGTTGTATTTACTGAAAATGTTATATTAATAAAAGATAGATTACCCTTTTATATTATATATATATTATATATATATATATATATTATATATATATATTTTTTTTTTTTTTTTTTTTTTTTTTTTTTTTTTTTTTTGGTATCTACGGGTGTCCAGGTCAGCTTGCGCACACCTGAACTAGTCCACTAAATTATGGTCAGGTAAGCCTCTAGTAACTACCTCTTATTAGTAGTCGTGGGATTCCAACTAATAACTTTTTGAGTAATACACCTAAGAGTCACAAACGAGTCGTCAAGATACCTAGAGGTAGTTTATGTTATATTGATATGTTTGGTTGGAAGGATAAATTGGTGGGTATGTTATATAGATTACTAAATTGCCCTCCTTTTTAAATATTATTTTTTGAATAATTTTTTTAACCCCCGACATTTGAAATTTTGCTAAAACACCTCAGTCATATAAAACTTTAATTTGTAACAAAATCACCCCCACCCACCCCAAGCCACTGTCAAAAGCCAGCCACCATCACCGGCTGCCACCGACAGTCATCGAAATGGCACATGACCTGCCAGATCTGGCCAGCCGTACGCCAGCAAAGTCGTTTTCGACCATGGACCACTTCACGACCATGGATCTGGCCGAACCGACCAGATATGGCCGACCGTGCCCCATTTCGTTGACTTCCGATAGCGATTGCCAGGAGGTGTTATTAAAAGATTACCAAGATAATATGATTTTATACTTATTTTGTCCTTAATTAAATATCATTTTGAACACAATTGCCCTCAAATATCTACAAAATAACCATTAGCCCACACACCCTACATTTGAGAATTTAACTAAAACATCTTAGCCACAAAAAAATAAATAAATAAATAAATTTATAAGTTAACAAAATACCCCCAGCCACCCAAGACCGCCGATAACCGCCATATCAATGCACAACCGGCTAGGTCTGGCCAGTCGTGCATCGATCTAGCTATTTTCGACCAAATCGAAGGCCGAAAATGGTCAGATCCACGACGATCTGGCCAAAAACAGTCAAATCACGGCCAAAGATTTGAGGCTCCGTTTGGTACACTCTTTAAAGTACTATTCTAGTTTTCCCAATAAAGTTAAACAGAAAATTGGTCTTTGGTTCTCTTATTCTCAAAATATTATTCTATATTATTTAATTTCTTTTAAACCCCTTAAATTTGTTAATTTAACTAAACGCCCAAAAAAAATTTTAAAAATTGACAAAAACGCCACAGCAACCCACATTTACCAGATTCCAGTCACCATTGCCGGAAGCTGGTCGAAATCTGGTATAATGGCACACTACCAGCTAAATTTGGCCAGTAGTGCGCCGATCTTGCTTTTTCCGATCAAAGATCTGGCTGTTAACAGCCAGATCTTTAGCCGTAGCTAGCCGTCAACGATGACCGTATCTTTGGCGGTCGTTGACGACCAAATGCAGCTAGATCTGGCCATCAATGGCCAGATCCACCGTGGATCAGGCCGGAAAAGGCCATATCAGTGCACGACCGGCCAGATCCAGTCGGTTGTGAGCCGATACGACGACTCCAGCCACCCTCCAATGGTGGTGGGCAGTTGTTCGTATTTAATGGGTGGGTTGGGGTGTTTTTATTAATTTTTAATGTTTTATTATAGAGGTGTTTAGTAAATAAACAAACATAGAGGGGTATTTTTGTTAATTTCTAAATCTACATCGTAATACCCATCTAATTTTACTTATTTCAAACTATTATTTTAAAAAGTATCAGAATGATGAACCAAACGGAGCCTGACATTTTCATAACCAGTTGAAAACAACCTTACCGACACACGACCAGCCAAATCCGATCAGTTGTGTGTCATTCTAACGACTGCCAACAGTGGTGGCTAGTTGTCAGCAGTGGCATAGGGTGGGTGGGATGATTTTGCTACAAATTAAAATTTTATATAACTGGGGTGCTTTAGCAAAATTTCAAATGTAAAGGTTTAAAAAAAAGGATTCAAAAAAATAATAATAAAAATAATATTATATTAATATTTTAAGAGGAGAACAATTTAGTAATCTATATAACATACTCATCAATTTACCTCCCAACTAGACCTGACAAAACGGGTCCAAACCTGCAGGTCGGCCAATACCTGGATAAAAAATATAGGGTATGGGTCTAATAAATTGAACCCCTTTTTCATGGACTCGTACCCGACCCGACCCGTATACCTTACGGGTTATTGGGGTGAACCCGCGGGTACCCATTTTTGCAAATGGTAAAAACCAAAAAGTGACCCACTAACTTGCCCTAACTCATCTCTCTTGTGCCTGGCTGCCTCTGCTCTGCCTCTCATCTCTCTCGCGCCCGCCTCTCAATCTTCAACGAATCAACATAACATTCTTTCCCGCCTCTCAATCTCTGATCAGTCTTCGATTAATCGTCACTCGTCAGTCATCACCCATTAGTAAGGCAGTCACCTGATTCATTCATCCAGTCTGTCATTCCCATTCCCAGAAAGAAATTGTTGGGTGTGTGGGTTAGTTGGCAAGTGTTGCTTTAGGGATTTGTGTGCTAGCCTTTTGTTTCTTTGTAAAGTTCCCCTTTTATCTTCTTTCCCAGGGAGTGGTGTTGAAGAGTAGAGATGGTGTCTACTTGGTTTTAGGGAGGGCCTCTCTAGAGGATCTCTTTGGCTTTGATTTCCTCTCAGTTGGTTTTCGGTTGGTTGGGAGCGCTGTTGTGTTGTGTGTGTTCTTTGGGTGTGCCTTGGGATGTTGTGGGTTCCTTTCTTGGTAGTAAAAGGAAGCAATGTTTTAAAACCCAACCCGGGATGAAACACGGCAAAGCTTCTGGGTCCTAGGTTGACCGGTTGACAAAAATTTTTAAAATTCAGCAGATATACCCCTAAAAATTATGATAAGTCCCCATAAGTTTTAAATTTATCAAACACACCCCAACTGCAAATCGACCGACGACTGATTAGCGGCGGCGACACCCCAGATGCAACCCCAATTGTCCCTTGAGCCCATTTCCATCAAAATATACCTAAGATCTGGCCGAAATAGGTTCGATTTCGGCCAGATCTCACCGACGTCAACGTCGGCATTCCAGGCCAGATCCCATCGATTCCGGCAACAACAACCCTTCCCATCACCCCAGAATTACTCCCCTTTTCTTCCCAACCAAAACCCCCCTCACCCCACCCCCGTTAGCCTCGTAAATTGCCGAAAAAATCTCATCATTGCCGTTGCCAGTTTTGTTCGATTTCCGGTCGATTTACTCACAGGAAATCAAATCTTTCACCACCATTACATTCACCGGAAATAGCTCTTCAAAAGCCCCAACATTCCGACAGTTAATTGTTCGCCAATCATTGGCGAAAATCCTAGAGTATTGGATGAATAGGAAAAAATTAAACCCAGCCCGTTAAAGCTTCCGAGTCCCGGTTCAACCGACCGGGCCGGGCCGAGTTTTAAAACATTGGAAGGAAGTTTTTGGAGTGCTGTGGTCATTTTGAGTTTGGCTTTTTTTTGCTGCTGTCCTTGCCCTATGTTGTTTAATGGTATAGTGGGTTTTTTCGGTAATCTTGCCTACTATAGGTTCTTCTCCTGGGCTGTTGGGTTTTTGCTAGGTTTTTTCCTAGCTGTTTGTTCTTTTTTTGCTAACATAAGGTCTTGGTGAGTAGTTTCTTTACTGGCTATTCTGGTGTCTTGTTTGCTGCCGTCTGTGAGCTGGTTTGTGGTTGTGTGAAGGCTATTTCTGGCCTCCCCGTGGTGCTTTTGAGCTGCTGTGTCTGGGTTTTTTCAGTTGCTGCTCTTGCGTTGTGTTGCTGGTTTTGCTTGGCCTATCCAAAGGCTATTGTTAATACTTTTATTTTTATTGTATTTTAGCTATGTGGAGAGATTGAGATTAATGCAATTTTGATAAGCTGTCGAGCAATGTACATAGATTTTAAGCTTCTTTAATTTGCATTCTTTTAGTTGTATGAAGACTGAATTTACTTAGTAAGCGTTTATCATGAATGAAATGTCTCCAAAAATAGTTTGTATATACAATGAATCCCAGTTGAGGTATCATGGTCTGATTGGTTGCAATAGTTGCTTAATTTGGAATTTATGGATGTTATAAACCAAAAAGTTCTACAAATTTTATAACTGGATGAGATTTACATGCAATTAACGATCTCAAATGAATCAGCAATGTTATAGTTACCAAAAATGTACACTAAATTAAAATTGCAGGAATTTTAGGGGTGTAACTAGGTGGACCCGTATAGGGTAGGGTATGGATCCAATATTTTGGACCCGTATACCTCAACCCATATTGGGCCCGTACCCGTTTGGACCCCACCTGTACCTGACCCAACCACCCAGGTCTACTCCCAACCAAGCATATCAATATAACATACCCACCAATTTATTCTAACCTAACCAAACACATTTTTTTAAATATTCCTAGTAATCTTTAAAGTAATCTATCTTTCCATTAATATAACATTTCCAATAATATAACATTCCTTGAACCAAACGCACCTTAAGGGGTAAGATTATAACAAAAGTAAGATTATCAAGCAATCTTAAAATACCTAAAAAAATAGAAATAATCAGATTACCTCTTATATTACCAATAGTAATTACTATTGGTTTCAAAAGATTACCGAAATCTTATATTACTTGACAACCAAACGTGATAATCAAGTAATATAAGATAACATTACCTCATTAATGGGGGATTACCCCCAACCAAACACATATAAGTAACCCTCCAAGTTCTCACTCGGAGCAAATGAAACCCCTGCCTCAATGTCCTGCTTTTCATTCCATCTTGCACATTACATGCCTCCCACTGTAGAAACTTCCGTTGCCAATACTCAAGAAAAGATTAAATGTGTGCAAAGTAAAAGTCTTATGGTAGGAGATTGAAAATGAAAACCAAGCAACCATCAAATTAATGTAGGAGGTGTAATGGAGATCGGTATAAATCATCTAATTAGCCTGAAAGAAGGAAAATTATTCTTTGAACTTCTTTGATGAAATATTTACAAGCTTTGCACGTCGTGTTTTCTGATCCACCTCCACTTTGAGACCAAGTCCAGCAAGTTCAGGCACTTCAACAGACCCTTGAAGCTCCAAATCTATTACTGCTTGTTGGTTTTCTGCATTGCCTTCCAATAAATTCCTAACCGACCAAATGCCCCACTCCCTTAGAAATGGGTTATCTTCATCAGTAACACACTGCTGTAGTAGCAATAGAACCCCATTTCTCTCTCTAATTTCATCTTGTATATGCTTTCTTCGATATGCACAATTGCCAATTACAGCAACAATGTCTCTCCGGAATCCCATGTAGGGGCAGGTCTTGTAGGAGTGTGAGTTAGTCCCATCTTGATTCTCACTCAGTCTCATAGCTTTCCTGATTATTGCTGGAGGCTCGAGGTCACAAAGTAAACATAAGAGCAATTCAATGAGTCCAGAGGATTTTAGTGTATCAACAACATCAATAGAACCCTCAGAACTAGAACCTGCAGATCCCTCCAATGAGCAGATATCTCTCAAAATTGTGAGCGAGTATCCAAGAACATTGATTGCAGAAGAGGGCGTTGGAAGACTGAACTTGCCCTTTGAGGAAAAATCGACAGCCCTAATAGATCTCTTAAATATTTCTAGAACACTTAATGCGAAGTCAATGGGAATAATGATTTCTTCAATTCGTTCATTCACTATCTCCGATACAATTCTCAGAAGAAAAGCTTGCTCTGTAGAAAAGGTATTATCTATTAAGTTAGGATCTTCAAGTTGCACAGGGGCACTGACTTGGTATAGGTTGGAGAAAAATAGAGGAAAATGTATTTCTTCAACACATATTCTTGAAACAAGTAACTTCAACCAATCTTCTTTAAACCCAACTGGTGAGACAAAGAAGAAAATACAGGTAATCAGTACTTACTTTATCAGTAGCTAACTACAAACACCATTAAAACAAAACTGGATGGAGACAAATGCAATTTGAAGCTCATTGTACCTGAAGAAGCTGTGACCAAAATTTCTGTCATAATAGCAAACCCTTTTTCTTCACATAACTCCTGAAACAATCCAGCACTGCCATCACAACACACATATATAACCATACACAATGGATCACAAGTCTCCTGGCTTCGTACTTTAGCAAGAGTAACAAACTCATTTGGAAAGAACAGACTCCAAATAGCTCGCTGATGTCTTTCACCAGCCAACGAAACATTTGCCAAAACCTGTAAAGCCATACGAACGATCCCGCAATCTGCACCCGAATCAAGTCCTGTAAACCTCAGAATTGTTAAAACAACTCCAACTCCATTGCACTCAATAAACAAATTCTGATTGGTAATATCTCCAGCACAGAGGTTTCTAAGGAGCTTCAATGATAGTAAAAGATATTGACGACAAGAGGCATAGCAGATAGATTGAATAAGCCGAAGGACTGTTGGAAGGATATTCTTGGAAGCAAGGTCAGAGCGGCCAACTCCAGTTCTAGAAGATTCTACAAGAATTTCTAGGGTTTCTTTCAAAGAAGATGAGCTCGCAGCAGTTAATAATGGCTGGAGGACATCAACTGGCACAGGGATACCCAACAATGATACATCATCCGTGATATCACCCATAAATTAAACTGTAAGTAAAAGGTAATGACTTCAATCTTAATCACCAATAGATCCTGCAAAGAAGAATAGGAAAAGATCAGAAAATGATTTCATAATAATAAGGTTCGAAAAGATACCAATACAATCGATGAGAATAACTAAGTGTTACAATATCCAAAAAAATGAATAACTGAATGATTCGTAAGGATAACAAACAAAACTTCTCAACGAGAACTAACTTTTGACAAAATTTGATCAAAGTGTCATTGTACTATCGGAAATTGCTCACTTTCCCCTCTCATTCGTTTGCTTAATTTCATTAACTTCACAATTTATAGCAAATAATGTTAATCACCAGTGCCCCGTCAGATTACTAACAAACATATAAGAAAAAGGAAAAGAAACCAACATTCAATTTCTTAGCATCACGAATAAGTAAATGTTAATCTCTACAAAGCAGAATGGAAACTACAAGATTTCAGAAAAGCTTAAAAAAATACAATTGCATCAATATCAGCAGTATTTCTAGTTAAACGAATGAGAAAGTGAAAGTTACCTGGAGAGAAAGGGAGCTTTGAAGTAGGGTAAAGGGCTTAAACAAGAAATTTCGTGAGAAATAGCAGGTAATTGATCGAATGGGATGAGGAATTTATGCTACAGAGTACAGGGAGCGGGAGGAGGCAAGCAGGAGCCGACCTAAACCGGGTAAGGACTAGGCCCGTCAGACCGCCAATTTTTTTGCCCTTGTTTCTGGAAACTTCAATTCATTTCTAATACGGATTTCGAAATTCTTCCAGTATTTGTAGCACTATTTTAAAATGCGGAAAACGACTTCTACAGTTCCACCTATCCAAGGTTTGCCGAATGATGATTGGTACCTTAAAATAATAAAAGGTTTTAAAATAATAAATAGGTACTTTTATTAGTGAAAAGATTAGAATACCTTTTGAGAAATATTAGTCTATTTTCTTAATTACTTTAAACCCCTTAAGTTTATTAATTTTATCAAATACCCCTCTAAAAAAAGTTTAAAACTTAACAAAAAGACCCCTACTCAGTGCACTCACCCATACTTGTCAGATTTCAGCTACCACCGAATCTGTCACAGCGGTCTACGCTACCATTGGAAATAGCCGATAATTCACCGATCTGGCCTTTTTAGGCCAGATCTGACCGTCAACGGCAGCAATACTCCATCTTTGGCCGTCATTGACAGTCAACGATGGTCATTTCTTTGGCTGTCAATTTCCAACCAGATCTGGCCTTTTCACGTCAGATCTGGTCATGGATCTGACCGAAAAATGTCAGATCTGTGAATTATCAGCCATTTATGGTGGTGGCGAAAAGTGTTGTGACAGATTCTGGCTACTACCACCGGTGGCCGTCGGAATCTGGCAAGTATGGATGGGTGAAGGTGCTTTTGTTAATTTTTAAACTTTTTATGGGGGTATTTGATGGAATTAATAAACTTAAGCGGTCTAAATGTAATTAAAAAAATAGACTAATATTTCTCAAAATGTATTCTAGTCTTTTCACTAACGAAAGGTACTTGTTTATCGTTTTGAAACTTTTTGGATACCAATCATCGTTTCACCCAACCTTTGGTAGGTATAAGTCGTTTAGCCTTTTAAAATGTATAAAAATTCTTTTAATATGTTAATTATTGTATTTAGATATTCTAAATTTTCATATTTAAGTTGTAACACATTTAATTTCTATTATAATTTCAATATATATATATTTTGTTATTTTACATGTTGCAAGTACAATATTCTTAAAAAAAAAAAAAAAACATATTCCGAATTACAAAAAGCACGCAGAGTACTCGCGGTTTCAGCGCAAGTACGTAATTAGCATTTAGCACGCCCTTAGTCCTAAAGTTGAAGGTCAATATCGTAAAAGAATCCTGGCATCTTCAACTCCACGTGTCTTCTCGCAAATCGTTTCTGAGATCAGCTATTCACGAGATTCTGGTCCCTGCCCCATCATACTCACAATTCATAAAAGAGTCAAGACTCCCATAACTCGTACTGACTCACCAGTCACCTCACCTCAACCTCTGCTCTATCTTCTCTCCACCACTGGGCCAATCCTCTAACTCGACTCTCTCCTTTTATGGAACAAACTCAATCACTTACTTGCTCCAGCCTTCATCGCCGGGGTTGATTATGTTGAAATCTTGAAACCTTACTCTGTTGACTTCAACTTTCCACGATTTGGATGGCTAACCGCAATTGGATTGCTCTTTTTCTTACACTTTCTTGTTTGCTTCCTTCTCTTCACGCTAGTGCCGGTGATGCTGATCCGATTTACAAGTAAAGTTTTTCAACTCGCTTAGTTGCTTGTTGTTCCTTTTTTTTTTTTTTTTCCCTCGATATATTCAATTTTGCAGAAAAATTACTTTGCTTGTTTAGTTTTGTTATGAAGAGCTTGGAATATTATATTTATTGCTATTGTTTAGAATAATTTTAGATTCTTATTTTATTATAATGACTGTGGTCAGTATAGTTGAAGACTCTGGTTCTTTGCTAGAGATTCTAACGTAATTTGAGATATCTTGAAAATATTGAAAAATTTTGTGATAAGAATCTTCGGTTTTTAAGATTTTGTGAGATTAAGGATGGATTTTGGAGCGGTTTTGTTATTGTAGAAAATTTATCAAATAGTCAAATTTGCTTTTGTGCGCTATTAGTTGTGTTAGGTTGAAAGAGACAAAGGAAAAATGAATAAAAAAAAATTTATACTTATTTGTCCTTAATTAAAATCATTTTGAAAACAATTGCTCAAATATCTACCAAATAACCATTAGCCCACACCCTACATTTGAGAATTTAACTAAAACATCTTAGCCACAAAAAAATAAATAAATAAATAAATTTATAAGTTAACAAAATACCAGCCACCCAAGACCGCCGATAACCGCCATATCAATGCACAACCGGCTAGGTCTGGCAGTCGTGCATGATCTAGCTATTTTGACCAATCGAAGGCCGAAAATGGTCAGATCCACGACGATCTGGCCAAAACAGTCAAATCACGGCCAAAGATTTGAGGCTCCGTTTGGTACACTCTTTAAAGTACTATCTAGTTTTCCAATAAAGTTAAACAGAAAATGGTCTTTGGTTCTCTTATTCTCAAAATATTATTCTATATTATTTAATTTCTTTTAAACCCTAAATTTGTTAATTAACTAAACGCCCAAAAAAATTTTAAAATTGACAAAAACGCCACAGCAACCCACATTTACCAGATTCAGCACCATTGCCGGAAGCGGTCGAAATCTGGTATAATGGCACACTACCAGCTAAATTTGGCCAGTAGTGCGCCGACTTGCTTTTCCGATCAAAGATCTGCTGTTAACAGCCAGATCTTTAGCCGTAGCTAGCCGTCAACGATGAACGTATCTTTGGCGGTCGTTGACGACCAAATGCAGCTAGATCTGGCCATCAATGGCCAGATCCACGTGGATCAGGCCGGAAAAGGCCATATCAGTGCACGACCGGCCAGATCCAGTCGGTTGTGAGCCGATACGACGACTCCAGCCACCCTCCAATGGTGGGTGGGCAGTTGTTGTATTTAATGGGTGGGTTGGGGTGTTTTTATTAATTTTATGTTTTATTATAGAGGTGTTTAGTAAATAAACAAACATAGAGGGGTATTTTTGTTAATTTCTAAATTACATCGTATACCCATCTAATTTTACTTATTTCAAACTATATTTTAAAAAGATAAGAATGTGAACCAAACGGAGCCTGACATTTTCATAACCAGTTGAAAACAACCTTACCGACACAGACCAGCCAAATCGATCAGTTGTGTGTCATTCTAACGACTGCCAACAGTGGGGGCTAGTTGTCAGCAGTGGCATAGGGTGGGTGGGATGATTTTGCTACAAATAAAATTTATAACTGGGGTGCTTTAGCAAAATTTCAAATGTAAAGGTTTAAAAAAAAGGATTCAAAAAAATAATAATAAAAAATATTATATTAATATTTAAGAGGAGAACAATTTAGTATCTATAAACATACTCATCAATTTACCCAACTAGACCTGACAAAAGGGTCCAAACCTGCAGGTCGGCCAATACCGGATAAAAAATATAGGGTATGGGTCAATAAAATTGAACCCCTTTTTCATGGACTGTACCCGACCCGACCCGTATACCTTACGGGTTATTGGGGTGAACCCGCGGTACCCATTTTTGCAAATGGTAAAAACCAAAAAGTGACCCACTAATTGCCCTAACTCATCTCTCTGTGCCTGGCTGCCCTGCTCTGCTCTCATCTCTCTCGCGCCCGCCTCTCAATCTTCACGAATCAACAAACATTCTTTCCGCTCTCAATCTCTGATCAGTCTTCGATTAATCGTCACTCGTCAGTCATCACCCATTAGTAAGGCAGTCACCTGATTCATTCATCCAGTCTGTCATTCCCATTCCCAGAAAGAAATTGTTGGGTGTGTGGGTTAGTTGGCAAGTGTTGCTTAGGGATTTGTGTGCAGCCTTTGTGTCTTGTAAAGTTCCCCTTTATCTCTTTCCAGGGAGTGGTGTTGAGAGTAGAGATGGTGTCTACTTGGTTTTAGGGAGGGCTCTCTAGAGGATCTCTTTGGCTTTGATTTCCCTCAGTTGGTTTTCGGTTGGTTGGGAGCGCTGTTGTGTTGTGTGTGTTCTTTGGGTGTGCCTTGGGATGTTGTGGGTTCCTTTCTGGTAGAAAGGAAGCAATGTTTTAAAACCCAACCCGGATGAAACACGGCAAAGCTTCTGGGTCCTAGGTTGAACGGTTGACAAAAATTTTTAAAATTCAGCAGATATACCCCTAAAAATTTGATAAGTCCCCAAAGTTTTAAATTTATCAAACACACCCCAACTGCAAATCGACCGACGACTGATTGCGGCGGGACACCCCAGATGCAACCCCAATTGTCCCTTGAGCCCATTTCCATCAAATATAACTAAGATCTGGCCGAAATAGGTTCGATTTCGGCCAGATCTCACCGACGTCAACGTCGGCATTCAGGCCGATCCATCGATTCCGGCAAACACAACCCTTCCCATCACCCAGAATTACTCCCTTTTCTTCCCAACCAAAACCCCCTCACCCCACCCCGGTAGCCTCGTAAATTGCCGAAAAATCTCATCATTGCCGTTGCCAGTTTTGTTCGATTTCCGTCGATTTACTCACAGGAAATCAAATCTTTCAACACATTACATTCACGGAAATAGCTCTTCAAAAGCCCCAACATTCCGACAGTTAATTGTTCGCCAATCATTGGCGAAATCCTAGAGATTGGATGAATAGGAAAAAATAAACCCAGCCCGTTAAAGCTTCCGAGTCGGTTCAACGACGGGCCGGGCGAGTTTTAAAACATTGGAAGGAAGTTTTTGGAGTGCTGTGGTCATTTTGAGTTTGGCTTTTTTTTGCTGCTGTCCTTGCCCTATGTTGTTTAATGGTATAGTGGGTTTTTTCGGTAATCTTGCCTACTATAGGTTCTTTCGGGTGTTGGGTTTTTGCTAGTTGTTTCCTGTTTGTTCTTTTTTGTAACATAGGTTGGGAGTAGTTTCTTTATGCTGTGTATGCCGTTCTTTTGTGTTGGTGTCTTGTTTGCTGCCGTCTGTGAGCTGGTTTGTGGTGTGTGAAGGCTATTTCTGGCCTCCCGTGGTGCTTTTGAGCTGCTGTGTCTGGGTTTTTTCAGTTGCTGCTCTTGCGTTGTGTGCTGGTTTTGCTTGGCCTATCCAAAGGCTATTGTTAATACTTTATTTTTATTGTA